CTGACGTTTGTTTTCTTTCTTTTGTTACACAGCTGTGCTGGAAGTTCTTGAACTGCTTGCAGCCTTTCTTTGCTTTCATTTATTTGTTTAATTATACATTTTGAAAGATAAAACAGCATTAAAAGTCTGTGGTTAAGCACCAGCATGGAAATCAAAGTTAAAATTTTGAGAGCATGCATCTTCCCTGAAGCAACATAGTATTTGATCCGTGCTATCTCCCAGTCCTTATTGAAGAAAATATGGGCTTTTGAGCTAAAATGAACAGCATCTTGTCTCGGAAGCTGAAATATTTTGCTGATATGATGTACCAAGGCGGACTAAAAAAGCAGACGACGTGGTGCCAGGAAAGAGGGGCAGGGACCGACCAACACGAAGATAGGCACATAATATAAGCGACTCCTTGGATATGAAAGTGCACGAGGTGGAAGATCTGGCGAAAGGCCCATTTGTTTTGAAACAGTCGTAGATGAGAGTAACGTTTTGCAAAGGACCTGCTACATGATAGTGATATTCTTTGAACAAACACGCTTATTTGTATAAACTTTGTTTTTCTTTCTAATTTGAGGTTTACATATCATCAAGATTCTTTGTTATAGTTTGTAGTTGTTGTGGTTGCTATTTGTTATAATAATAATAATTATTATTACATCTACTGACAATCTCAACTGTCAAACAATCCTACATGTCTGCTATATTCAGTCTCTCCATCCACCACCTTTGTAACATTTGTCTTAATAATTGTATTATTACAATTAACGAAATACGTGCGTGATCAGTTACTCCATAAATTGTTGGAATGCGAGGATGCCTGTTCTAGGACACTGCCTGCCCATTTGGGTTCCGTGGGGATGAGGAGATAGATCCTTCTCGATCATTCACTCACTTTAGTATGTGTTAACACATTAACTCACATGCATGATCATTCACACTTTCATGGATTCCTTAATTTTCACTCACTAACACACTCACTCAGTCAATCACTCATTCACTCACATGCTTACTTACTCGCTCGCTCACTTAGTCATACAATTATCTCACTCACTTATGTAATGATCACTCACTCACAGGCTCACTTATCTACTTACTCACTCATAAACTTACTCATTCACCAGCTAATCTAAAAAAAAAAAAAAAACAGACACACACTACAGAGAAGACAAACATGGAACAAAGAAAAAATACATAAAAAGACCCCGTTATACCTGAACAATGAAAATAGGAACAAACAACGTGCACGACATTAATTCCCTGCATACCTCCATCTTCCCGCCCGTGTTCCAAAGCGTTAACAACCTGGAAAATATTTTCTGTTGTCTCTTTTACAATGCAGGACACAGCGAGGGTGGGGGGGGGGGGGGGACACAAAGATAATACACAAAGGTTCAAGGAAGATGAGCACAACATATACATCCAGCCACACTGGGCTACAGTTTACTTCGTAACTGTTTTGTGTTGCCCCAGTATAACTGTGCAATATGGCTGTACGTTTGAGCTGGGGTTCTGGAACTTGTTTGATTTTGGATTCTTATCTTTGAGTTGGTATCTTATAGACTGCGAATCTTGTAAGGGGAAAGAGGGGAGCTCTGTTGATTTGTTTTTGACACCCAGCGCATTTCTGTCATAATCTGTTCCTATCTTGTATGCATTGCTGCCTTGAATCTATAGGGATATGGAGCCACAGTCAAAACAGAGAAGAAGAAACCGTTTCTTTTGAATGGTGTTGCAAGTAGTACGTGTGGGGGGAAAAAGATGAAACTTTGCATATTCAAATTACTTTTGATTTTGGTTTTTCGAATGGTGATGGTAGTGGTCGAGGCGAAAGTGAGGAGACGCGCGCGCGCGCACACACAGCCGCACACATTTTGTCCTCACACATTTTGTCCTCATATTTTTGTGTAAATAATTACATTCGGGAAAGAAAACTGTCTTACAGCCATGAACCCATTATCTATAGCTGATCTTCTTTTGCTAATAATACTTCATGTAAAAACTGCTATTTGCAATCTATAGGTTCAACAGTCTGCCTAGTGCTATCGCTTATATATTCGCGTAACGTTTGTTTCTATTCTTTTCCCGGTATATTTCACAAACAGTTAAACAGATAAACATTCCTTCAGCAGTATGTTGTGGAACGTGCATGAAAAATCGACGAGAGAGAGAGAGAGGTAGAGAGAGAGAGAGAGAGAGAGAGAGAGAGAGAGAGAGAGAGAGAGAGAGGGAGAGGGGGGGGGGAAGAGAGGGCGGAGGGTGTGCTTTGCGAAAAAAAAAAAAAATCGAAGGCGAGGGTGAAGCAGTTATGTAAAGCAGTACTGTACAATTATGTGTAGTTTGCACATTTTCTTGGCGAAACGATTTTTATTGTAAAGTAATTAAACAGAGAAGCCGATAAAGTTCTGGCTCCAGGATATGCTGACACGAGGAAATGATATCACAAAGATTGCAGAAATCTTCAAAACAAAAGGGAAAAAACAAACAAACGCGTAAACGTACATACACGCGCGCTGGCGTTTGTTTAAGAAACTGTTTTCTTGAATAATTAATGAATTCAGGTTAAGACAATATAAAACAAGAAGTTAAAATAAAAAGAGAGATTAGCTGATATCTTAGATTGATTTTTGTTTTCCTGATTCGCGTTAAGTAATTTCTCCACTAGGATACATTATGTGCAATTGGAAATTATAAAAAAAAAAGGGGGGGGGGGTGGTGGGGGACACAAAGATATTACACAAAGGTTCAAGGAAGATGAGCACAACATATACATCCAGCCACACTGGGCTACAGTTTACTTCGTAACTGTTTTGTGTTGCCCCAGTATAACTGTGCAATATGGCTGTATGTTTGAGCTGGGTTTCCGGAGCTTGTACTCGTCTGATTTTAGATTCTTTTCTTTGAGGTGCTATCTTGCAAATCTTGTAGGTGGGGAAAGGGGGGGGGGGGGCTGGGAGCTCTGTTGATTTGTTTCTAACACCCAGCGCATTTCTGTCGTAATCTGTTCCTATCTTGTATGCACTGCTGCCTTGAATCTAGAGGGAGATGGAGCCACAGTCAAAACAGAAGAAGAAACCGTTTATTTAGAATGTTGTTGCAGGTAGTACGTGTGGGGGTTGGAGGGGGGGGGGGGGAGATAACACTTTGCATATTCAAATTACTTTCAATTTTGGTTTTTCGAATGGTGATGGTAGTGGTCAAGGCGAAAGTGAGGAGACGCGCGCACGCGCACACACAGCCGCACACATTTCGTCCTCATCTTTTTGTGTAAATAATTACATTCGGGAAAGAAAACATGCGCTGTCTTTCAGCCACGAACCCATTATCTATTGCTGATCTTCTTTTGCTAATAATACTTCATGTATAACTGCTATTTGCAATCTTCAGGTTCAACAGTCTGCCTAGTGCTATCGCTTATATGTTCGCGTAACGTTTGTTTCTCTTCTGTTCCCGGTATATTTCACAAACAGATAAACATGCCTTCAGCAGTATGTTGTGGAACGTGCATTAAAAATCGACGAGAGATAGATAGATAGAGAGAGAGAGAGAGAGAGAGAGAGAGAGAGAGAGAGAGAGAGAGAGAGAGAGAGAGAGAGAGTGAGAGAGCGAGATAGGGAGGGCGAAGGAGGGTGTGCTCTGCGGAAAAAAAATCGAAGGCGAGGGTACAGCAGTTATGTAAAGCAGTACTGTACATTTATGAGTAGTTTGCACATTTTCTTGGCGAAACGATTTTTATTGTAAAGTAATTAAACAGAGAAGCCGATAAAGTTCTGGCACCAGTATATGCTGACACGAGGAAATGATATCACAAAGATTGCAGAAATCTTCTAAAAAAAGGGGAAAAAACGCGTGCACGTACACACACGCGCGCTCACGCTTGCTTAAGAAACTGTTTTCTTGAATGATTAAGGAATTCAGGTTAAGACAATATAAAACAAGAAGTTAAAATAAAAAGAGAGATTTAATGATATCTTAGCTTGATTTTTGTTTTCCTGATTCGAGTTTAGTAATTTTTCTAGTAGGATACGTTATGTGCAGTTGGAAATTGTGGGGGATGGGAGGGGGTGGGGGGGGGGGTATATTTTTTATGTGTGAGGTACAGTAACGGCGGCTATCCTCCGACTAACGGTCGGTAAAGATGGCGGCCGCAAAATATCCTTTCGAGCCTCAGTCACGTATCATGTGTTGTAAACATAAAAAAATTGAAGTCAAAACTAATAAGAAACGAAAAAAAAAGTTATGTCTAATCGATTACTTACCGATAATAGTATGCTTTTATATCTGGAAATTATGGGATAGACGTTCTAAATAGTGCCCGAAAATCTGCTGTTTGTGGCTGTTACACAGATCGGCTATCCCCTGAATAACGGGCACAAAAGATGTCGACCAAAAACAGGACCTCAGTCACGTGTCAATTGCGAATTTCCGGCGACTTAATTTGTGGTTTTCCGGCGATTACCGCCACCGCCGAGAGTAGCTCCCACGCTGTCAACAACAGATCAGCAGTTGCACAGGCGATCATTTTTAATCACATAATGGCACCACCAATATTGCAATACCAGGCATCGTGCCATTTTGTGAATCTACAATTCACACCACTACACATTGGTCACAGTCGAAAAAATATTTCAAATGAAATCCGCAGCTCACAGTGTCACAACATGCACTCAACTCAGAAGCTGGGCTACGAAACTGTGCCCTTTTAGTCTACAAATGGAGCAAAAATGCAACAGCCACCATGTGGCATACACACACACACACACACACACATACACACACACACACACACACACACACATACAATTTGTGTATAATAAATGGGTTAGCATACAACAGGTCGTACTTGTATAATGGGAAACTGATTGATACCTTCTTATAGACGATCGCTCTTTTGTTCAGTGCTTTCTTTCATTAAAACTTCCTGCATATCTTTGCTTAGTATTTCTTAAAGACAATGCATTTATGTAAGTAACATTAATATGATCTTTTTCCTTTCCCCTTTCCTTAAATAGGTAGAGCATACGGCACGCATGAAAGCAGAGAAAATCCGCATCGCTTTAGAGAAAATCAAAGAGGCCAAGATAAGGAAGGTAATTAAGATGTTCATTTCCTGCAGTTAGGATATCCTTAATATTTTCAATATGTGTTTTCCTTAAGCCACTATATTCATTACTTGTGAACATAATGAAACACATGTCTGTTATGTGAGGTGTTGGATTTATGGTAGTGTGAAGGCAGATGTTGCCATGTCAATCTGTGCTAAAACATATATCATGATGATGATTAAAGCATGCAAGATAGCAATCTCTGTGTATACACCAGAGGATTATAAAGAAAGGAAACCGCTTTGCAGCCATTATTGAATAGACACAATTTGTATTAACAATTTTATTATTTATCATAATGTAATTTTCCAGATATATTTTAGATGTTTATTGCATGTGTTTAGAACTGATTTCATCCAGATGTGCAAAACTATTTATCAAGCAGTCTTATTTACAGTTGAAAATCACCTTTATAAAGTTTAGTTATTTCTTTTTAGAGCTAAATGACTTAGTGGTTAATGTGGTTGGTTACCAAACCAATGGTCCAGGTTGATAACTCAGCAGTGATTAAGATTATGTTTTCCAAACAACTACCAGGCAAAGTGAAATAGAAAGAGGGCAAATTCAGAATGTTCTTGCCATTATCTGGAAAGGAACAGTATGAGGGCTATTCCAAAATCAATATCCTATTGGCTGGTAAAAATAAACCATTTATCCTAGCAAGACGTTCATTGCTTGCATCATACAGTAGTAGTAGTAGTACATTTTACCCCACAAGCGATAAACACCCGGTGACACAAAGTGCCACCATGTGGATTAGGATCACCGTGGAGAGATCCCAGAAACCGTGTTCAGCCATTTGACCATATTTAGGGCCGGGCTATATTGCGGCCACTGGCAAGAGCCAGGGTGGGGCTTTAATAACGAAAAATTGCATCACACAATGGGATGACAGGTTTATATACAGTTGTCTTTTAGTTCACTAGACATCAACCTGCAGTTACATTCATTCTGCGGTTCATGAATCAGGCCCGAATAAACATGGGCACTGTTATTGCCTTTCTTGCCAGCTTTAAAATTTGTGGTGTGATTCATTTTTTGAATCTTTTGGTAGCACAGAAAGAACATCAAAGCTGCGCATATTCTTTGAGCTTGGTGAACATAAGTCAGTTGCTCTAGTACCCACCATGAACAGAATTTATGGTAACCAAACTCTCCATGACAGTTCAAAACAAAATAGTCCTAGAAATTTGTGGAAATTCTGTAAAAAGATCGGAAATTGTGAAATGGTGCTTTTCCACTACAATATAATCGACTGTGAAACTCATATGTCACACATAAATGTAGTTGTTGTGCACCCACATCATGCACATATTTACGCTCATTTCTGAATTTCCTGCACCAATCCTTCACAGAACTGTCATTCATATCATTATCACTGTACACACAACACAGTCGATGATGAACTGGTGGCATTTTGACTTTTGCTTGAAGAAAATGAATCACAACATGAATTTCACAGCTGGAAGGAAAGGCATTACTAGCATCTATGTTTATTCCTTCGTCATTCTTGAACCACTGAACAAATGCGACTGTAGATTGATGTGAATTGAGCTGACTGCTAAATTATGCAAGCTATAAACTGTGTTGCTAGGACAAAATTGTTTATTGTTACCAGCCAATAAGAGGTTGATTTTGGAATAGCCATCATAGAACAAATAAAGCATTTACAATTAAACTATAAACATTCATTAATTGGTACCTGCAAAGCATAGAATGAATTATAGATTAGGATAGAATAACTAGAGTGGAGTTTTTGGAGAGGACTAAACAAATTTCAGTGATTCAAGAGTGGAGTAAATCATGCTGGATAGGACATTCGATAACACTTAACAGTATAAACATACTGTCTCTACACTGGGACCCCAGGAAAAAAATATGTAGAAGACAATGTGTAAACAATAACAAATGGTATATAATTTTGTATGAGGTTGTTGACGGCCTATGCTCCAATGTAGCATGAAAAAAAAGAAGTAAAGAAGCAAGAAAGTCATCTGGCCACCATGCAGTTTTTTTTTACAGTTTTCTAGAGTTTTTTTTTTTAGAAAGTAGGAAATCTTAACATTTGACATCCCAGTAGCCGTCTCTGACATGGTGTGACCTTTACCGTTACTTTCTGGCATATACAGTTTTGCATTCTTTCTTCTACCGACAGCTGTTTGTTCGAGCATTTGCCAAAGATGGAAGCAGCAAAAGCATTCTGGTGGATGAAAAGATGAGTGTTGCACAAGTCTGTAGTCAACTAGCAGATAAGAACCACATACGACTCAATCATCGGCTGTGTGTTGTAGAACTGATGCCAGAGTTACTAATGGGTATAAGTTTGCTTTGATTAATTGATAATTTTGTTAAGGTCTTTTTTTTTTTTTTTTTTAAATAGAAAAAAATTTGCAGATACTTGCCATAAAGTATCTAACAAAATGTCCATTGCTGAAAAAGGTTATTTTTCCACACCTTCCTTCAGATATATAGGGCTAGACATATATTTACAGACCACTCTGAGTTGGCTAGGTAAAGTAATGTAATGTTAGTTTCAGCTTCGTAGCAAACGGGTCACCCCCATAAGTGCTCCACTCCTGTGCGAACGAAGAATGTTTATCACAGTCCCTTGTGGAGAGATTGACAGACTGCTGTCTCAGCATATTAACTAGCATACACATGCATTAAAAGCAACGGTAGCCAGAAGAAGTGCTAACACAAACAGTCCGACATTAAAAATGCAATTCATCATCGACGGTAGCAGAGGTAACCAACAAACCAGCAGTTGCACACACAAACAATTTTAATCATATAAGGGCACCACCAATATTGCAAAGGCAGGCCTCGCACCATTTTCTGAATCTACAATTCACAACACAACACCACGTTGGTCACATTAGAAAAATATTCCAAATGAAATCCGCAGCTCACAGGGTGGCACCATGCACTCAACTCCATAGCTGGGTGATGAAACTATATCCTTTCAGTCTACAAATGGAGCAAAAATGCAACGGCCACCGTCTGGCAGAAGCAAAAACTTTGCCACTACTTGAAACAGTGGCCGTGCCTAGCATCCATTTTGACCGGAATTTTGCTAGGTGATGTAGTTAACATCATGCTTTCCCCTTTACTTCCCAGGACTTTACCTGGTACACATTTAAGGCTGGGTTTACCTGGAAGCAAAGTTCGTTCTTGAAAAAATGTTCAGCTGCATTAGGATTTGAACCCATGAGCTTTGAATCTGTAGGTGAGCATCTAGCCACTACACCAATACAGTAGAGCTGACCCCCCCAAAAAAATGGATGCCTAAAAATAGGTGCCAGTACTGTGTACTATTTTGTACCACTAGTAAAAAAACCTGCTGTGCTTTTGTTTCTGTCATCTACCACCAAGCATGCCGGTTTAGGAGCAGTGGTAGTGTAGTAGCTAGTCTTGTGTTCAAATCCCTATAAAGTTATTTTAAAAGTAAACCTGTGCTGCCAGGTCAGCTCAGAATGAAACTGGGTATTAAGAAATGTTCTGGAGGAAGTTCTTCTGCTTCACCTGTCTGTAAAAGGGTTGTTGGCATGTTGTGCTGTGGTTTACCTCTAAGCTGTGATATCGTCACCTTTGAACCAACATATAAGATTTCACAATACTCCTAACTTAGTCACCTTTAATTACATGTTTGTTAGATGCAGGGGATCTACTCCTTTTATTCGGAACCCACACTGGTGAAGGTGAAGGCACCTATTGATTTTGTCCTTATTTCTCATCAACTGCCTTTTGATCTGTAAAAATATAAGGTCATTTAGTGAGGATCTCTGTGGGCAACATGTTTTCAACTTTTCATCATATGATAAATTGTTTCAGCTTTGGTTTTCTTATTGTCCAGTACTATTATTAAGCTAATTGTTTTCTAATGTTGTATTTTTTCAAAATTCTGTCTCCCATTATTAAATCAAGTATCTCTCTTAGGTAAGTTTAATAGATGTTGTTGCATGAAAGAATATGAACAAGGGCTGACCGACTTTATTAAGGAGAATTATTGAAATAATAAGGTTTTAACTCTTCTATTACTAAACTATTTTGTTTTCTCAGAACGTATCCTAGAAGACCATGATTCTCTGGTAGAAAACATTGTTATGTGGACGAGGGATTCCAAGAACAAAGTCATGTTTGAAGAAAGAATGGACAAGTATGACTTGTTTATTAATCCAGAAGTGAGTTCAAAATTCAGTATATTTATATATATATATATTTATATGTAAATATCTGCACATAAAACTGATTTGCAAGTACATAATAAAGACAAGAAAAGAATTAAACATTTCAGGTATTACTACTTACTTCATACCTTGTTGTAAATAACTATTATGGTCAGAAAGGCTGCTGGTTTAGGGTGCATGATTTACCACAGCAAAAAATATCCCAAGTTATCAAATTGTGCTGCTCATTTCAGCACTGCCTATGCAATACCATACAGCTAATTTGTAACCCAAGCAAACTGAATGCAATTTTCATTATTTCAAACAGTTATGATAATCAAATAGGTACATCAAATCCTTTACATCCGTATAGTTTAATCCACAGATTTGCTTAGATATGTATTGTTCTCAACACACTATTGAAAAATATTTCTTAAGTTATTATAATTTATTATTGAAGAAAATGCCACTGTAAGATTGTAGGTTTTCTTGTGACAGAGAATACCACAGTGGTGACAGAATAGATCTATTTATGAGAATGAGCTTTCAACATCAACAGAAGAGCTTGGCATTGCAACTAAACTTAAACAAGAGCTGCTAACTGATACAGTCTGTCCTTTAAGACATGCCAAAAAAGCAGTGATGGCATGCCAAAAAGCGGTGATATTAGCCAGAATGACAAGATGCTGTGTCTAGATAAGCATGCTAGTCATTTGCTGCAGGCATCGTTTTTTGGGACTGATTATGTATGATCTTCAATTTCTTAGATAAGAGAGGAAGTAGCCCTGGATCAAATATTGTCACAGATCTGAACAGGTCTACTGCTGGCAGCATGGTTCCATTGGCAGCAGCATTGTGCTTTGCATCTTCACAGGCGATTCCAGACAAGACAGCAAGATGTCTTGTTGTAGACATCGACAGTGTGGAAAGACCATGCTTTAAAGGAAGTCAGAGTGTTCATAATTGGTTGGTAGTGAACAGATACAAATTCAAGTTCAGCTGTCAGCTCATTGAGTCTATCAGTATTTCGCAGCAACACTGACAGCTAATTTAATTGGATTGGAGCTCTACTGTGTTCACTTTCAGCAGCAATTGACAGGATATAATGGTCAAGATATTCAGTGTTATTAGTCTCACAACACAGTAGACCACATTCAGCATATAATTTATCCTGCTTATACACTTTAACTTGTTGTATCAGTCCAACTTTCACTGCAGTTTTTTAGTTGCTTGTTGCTGACCTTTTTTTTTTAGTTAGATTTAAAAAAAAAATTATAATTTCATATATATAAAACAATTGAACGGGAAAGTTGTCTTCTGCCAAATTTGTATTTATTCTGTGGCACTTAGGTTAATACTGATAATTCCGCGGCGTAACATTAAATTTACAGCCATGGTAAATCATGGGCGTTAGTCATCATGCCTTTAAATTCACACTGAGCTTATTTGTAAAACTGATCAAGCCTCCCAGGATCATCAGTATAAATGTGGGTACCAGGAAATGTTTTGTGCCATCCTTCACATATAGCCTGGGATTTGACCACTTGTTAAAAATCCAGCAAACTTACACTCTTGGTCAGATCAGATGTCCTCTTCATTCTTTGCAGCTCGCATTTAAATTTGTATGTTTAGTATCTTCTGTGCAGGAATTAATTCTATTAAGATATCCCCAGTAATTAGTTATAGAGTCTAGGTTTCCACCAAATAGGGTTAGGTTTAGAAATAGGTTTAGGTTTCCACCAAGGCTGTTTATAAAACATTACTTTTACATCAATTGGCTTCTATTAAAGATTAAGAAAACATTTTTTTTGGCTCCTTTCTGTGTGATAACGTTATATTGTGCTATAGGCAGGCAGAGGAATCACAGCCCTTGGCACTGGCCAGTGTAACTAGACTTGCTTGCATTTAGGAAATTATTTCACCATTATAGCATAGGATTTGAGTTTCATTGTTGCAGCCCCATTTATTTAATATAAGTGTTCTGAGATGCTTAACTCCTTACCTGTCCTCACTCAGTTTCTCCTTTTTCCTTATTACCTTCCTAATTTCCCTCTCCATTGAAACACTGTTCATTGCATCTTGTTCTTGCCAATTCATCTCAATACCTGTATCACTCATGTCTCACCATTCATTCATTCATTCATTCATTCATTCATTCATTCATTCATTCATTGTCCTGTTTTACCTTTATGTGTCACATAAAGTCTATTCCTCCATTCCGTTGTATCCTGTGCAATCCGTCTAATATCATGGATGGAATCCAGTCCAATACCCCCCAATACCTTTGGCCTCTGTCATAAACATTTTTGGTTTAAATTTTTTTTGGCAGGTCCTCACTTCCTCAGTCTGTTTATTTCCTATTTTAGTGACTGTTTAATGATTCTCTGCTCGTTTTTTTTCCCAGGATTCTTCGGTATAGCGCCATCTTCTTTGTCTTATAACTGTTGTTACCAGTGGTTGATCAGACATTTTTCTTGTTTACTTTCCCCTCTTCATCCTATTTTATGTTCAACATTCTACTTGGGCATTTTTTTTAAAATCCATATTTCACCAGTAAACATATTTATATTGTAGTAGAGGCCAACCCTCTGCATCTTCAACCATCCTCCAAATGTTCTAGCCATCTAAGCCCTACAAGACTTAGCACTGAGAAAACTTTTATGATACCTGTTTGTTCCAGTAACCCAGTGTTTTTGATAGTCAAAGCCAGTCTGCTATCAGCTGCATTTATATTCATCAATATAATATGAATATAATCATTTTCTTCAAATAGAAATATCTCCTGAGTCCTACAGTATCAAAGCAAGAGCCACTGACAGCACAGCAGAAGGACAAACTAATTCAGGTGAGTTTCCATAAGATATTTCTCTCTAGCATGTTCTGGACAGTGCCATTATTATAGCCTAAATATTTGTAGTAGGACATCATCATCATCATCATCAGGTGCCTTGGCCACTGGCGTGGGCGATCATGCCTCTCCATAATCTGCGATCTCCTGCAGCATGTATCAGTTCGTGTGCTGACACACCTCCATGCCATGCAACAAGACTGTCAAGCATCTTCTCTCGTTGTCTTCTTCTATCCCTTTTTCCACAGATCTTTCCAGTGGTCACAACATGTTCCACTTTCCCTCCTCTCATAACATGGCAGAAAAATGATGACTGTCTTCTTCTGATGTCTATGATAAGTTGTCTTTGGGCTCCCGCCTCTTTCAAAACCTCTTGGTTGCTCTTTTTGGCTGTCAAAGGTATTCTAAGCATTCTTCTGTAAAACCACATCTCTGAGGCTTCTAAAAATTGTTTGGCCTGGCTACCGATTGTCCAGGATTCACATCCATATGTTAAAATTGGATGTATGTAGCAAGCAAGAATTCTTTTTCTAACTCTCAATGACAAGGATAAATTGCACAAGATGTTTTTCATGTTATAAAATGCAGTTTTTGCCTGTCCAATTCTGTTTCTTATTTCAGTTATGCATCTTCCATCTGATGTTATCCATGTGCCCAGATACTTAAATTTCTGGAGTTGTCCTAAAATAACACCATCGACTTTTATTACACATTTAGGAATAATTTGTTTCTTTGATACCACCATTACTTCTGTCTTCCCATTATTCAAACTGAGGCCTATTCTTCCACTTTCTAACACCACAATGTCAATCATTTCCTGTAATTCTTTCTGACTTGTTGCTATCAAGACTGTGTTATCGGCATAACGTAAATTAGTAGGACATATGTTTGTATAATGACACGCCACTAAAATTTTGTACCAGAAATGTTGAAAAATAGAACTGACAAAGTGAATAGTGAAGATGTTCTAAAAGGGAACAGAAACAAGAAATATAATGGATGGTAAAGAAATAAAAATTTGAAAAAAAGGGGGGGGGGGGGGGGGAATTGTATTTATCTTGTTAAACTTAAATACTCATGTAGAATCTCATTTCTCTTGTTGAATATTTATTTTTGTTGCACCTTATTTTTTTTTTTTTTCGAGTCAAATTTCTCTTGCTGAATGTCATTTCTCCTGCTGACTTCATTTCTCTTGTTAAAATCCCCAGGAGTTTTTTGCGCCAGATTGCATTAGTGTTCCAACTGTGGAAGGAGCTTTATATCTGAAGTCAGATGGCAAGAAAGCCTGGAAGAAATTCTTCTTTGTTCTCCGAGCATCTGGACTTTATTACAATCCCAAAGGAAAAGCAAGCAAGGTGAGAAAAGACATAATTCTCTCTGTCCAGATAAAAGTTGACTGTTCAGCAAAATTTCTACATGTAAATCAAAAGAACAGTTGCTTCATGTCAGTTTCTTTGATTTACTGTTTTAATACGAATTAAAAACAATTATCACGTTCTGATTTCAATAATTTTTGCAAGCAAGATATATTTATTTATTACACACATTAGCACATTTTAAGATAAAAACGTCCAGAATTTATTTATTCTAAATGAAGCAGTACATACTGGTTTTTATGAGCAGTTTATTCAAAATCATGTGATATAGTTTATAGTCAAATAAATAAACACATGTGAATGAATATATTTTGACTCACAGTTATAAATATATAATAAACAAATAGACATATGCTGATTGACATTTATAGGCAGAAGTAGAAAAATAGAAGGACACACTAGACAACAAAAACTTTAAAGCTGTAGTTATCTTACAGGGAATCAAACCTGTCTCCTCCAAATGATGACAGAACCTGAAGAGTTCCTGACTTATTATAGGTAGTGTGATAAGTGTCTCGAAATTATGGTATTAGTATTTTCTTTTTCTGCATTTACCTTAATAGGTCAGTTGGGCATTAGGTTGTGAGGTATGGCTAGGCTGTGATCTCTCCACCTTTTGCTCCAACAAATCTGATTTCAGCAAACCATTAACTAATCATGTTTTATGATGTGCTTGTTAAGGAGCATTGGGTCTGTTATTTTTTCTTCAGCATTTTGAGCCCTTGAGACTCATTGCTGCATATTTTACCTGCCTCCATTCACCTCTTTGGCTGACCTTCTCTTTCCACTTGGTGACACCAAGTGTTTGATGGTCTTCCTGAATATTATCCTACCAGTGTCTTCTTGGTCTGTCTTGTGGTCTATGACCATTCAATTCCCTTATTTACACAGTTTTTTACTTCTCTGTCATCTGGTATTCTCTCACTATGCTGCTCTGTTCTTTTGTTTCTCCAGAATGGGGCTCTGGAACCCACACTGGGGAGCATTGGTATTTTTAAACTGATTGGGTTTTCACTTCTCAAACAGAGTGCAATGGTACAAAGTTATGTATTTTTTTTCAAAGTGATATAGTAATCACAATTTTGTACAACACTGGAAATGTGGCAGTGTAATTATTTACATTTTCATTTACACAATAAACATGATAAATTAGTGCACAGTAAAAAGGCGGTTTAGCGCATAACAAAGGTAATAATGTTGTTCCTAGTTTCATTTCAGTTACACATAAATTACTGCACAGTAAACAGTGTAATTGACAAGTTTTAATTCTACAGTAATCAGAACAATTTAGTGTGTAATGTCAGTTCAGTGTGCATTGAGCAAAACATATATATGCACAACAAATATAGTAATTTAATAATAGGCTGTGTTTATTAGTTGTTATATGTAGATTAATAGTCTGTTAGAACATTATATTTGAGTAATATTTGTTGGAACCGATGATTTACAATGTACACCCTTTTTGTTGACAGAATCCGAAGGACCTGGTATGCTTAGTTCAGTTTGAGTATGTGGAAGTATATCGTGGTCTGGGATGGAAGAAAAAATATCATTCTCCTACGGATTACTGCTTTGCTCTCAAGGTTGGTAGTCATGTTTATTTTGACTTGTAACATGTCCATAATTATTCTTAACTGTATATTCTGTAACCCTTGCTGTGAGTGAGGTTCAGCCCCACCTGGACTACACAGCAAGTGACAAACAGCCAGTGACACAAAGTGTCATAATTCGGCTGTGAATCCCCCAGGCACAAGTCCCGGAAACCCTGTTCAATCATTAGGTTATACTGGGACTTCTGACAACTGTCGGGGTGGGACTTAAAAATAACAGGCACACAAATTGCATACCATACTGAGCTGAATGACTCTATGATGTCATAAGATGAATTAAATAATAATTTTAAAAAAACGGACATGATGGTTATGTGCAACATGAATTATACAGGTATTGAGATAGATTTTTTGGAACAGGATGTCATTTATGGCATTCCATAGAGGCGGAAATTAGAGGAAAAGATAGAACGGATTCCAGACAGGTTGCAAGTTGAGCAGAAGAGAAGAAACATGTTAAATACATGTGATAACAATAATGTACCTGAAATCTCATGCATTTATTGTGGAGCATTCTTCGTAATGCAACTGGTTTAGCTAGTGACACTCACCATTGCTATGTGTTATACTTTCTATGCCCTCCTCTCTTTCTCTCTCTCTCCCCCCCCCCCCCCCACCACCCCACCCCCCATTTTCCTCTGCCAATAGCAGAATGAAAAATTCTATTGTCTGGAAAGAGAAATGGGCTAATCAAAATTGTAGGTGTATTGTCTTGTTGCCCTGAATGTGTGTGCATGTGTCCATCGGTGTGCAGGCACAAACATACATAATACATTTTGGCATACTGAGTCACAATAAACAGTCTACACATAACTTGTTGTTAATGTAAAGGTGATCTATTTGTCTATTCACAGCATCCCCAGATACAGAAGAAAACATCCAAGTACATCCGCTATTTTTGTGCTGAAACAGAAATTTCACTCGATCAGTGGGTCATGGGGATAAGGACTGTTAAGGTATTCAACAGATGAATCTATTAATTTTGTAGATGATTTGTAAAGCAGTTTAGGTCAGGACTGCAAAAAATTATAGTACACAATCGAGACAGCACCTCTAATCATTCACTCAGTTGCCATCTCCACAATGCATGACTGCCATGGATTTCCAACTTTTTCCTTCTCTTATACTGTTTTGTACACTCTGGTAGACTTCTGTTCATCCATTTCTTGATTTGTATCTTTTTATCACAATCGTCTTCTTGCCAACTTGTCTTTAAGAATTATTCCCCTCAACCCATCCACCCAGCATAGGTTTTCTAAGTGCGTTATTATTTTTATGTGACATTTTTATTTTTAAATCGAGGAGAATAACCAGTGACTTCACACTTAGTAAACAATATATTCATCATGTTAATGACACAGTGTTACTAAGATTGTCTGATAATTCATGTATAATTTCTATCGTCACATCTCAAATCAAAGCAAAATGTGAAGCAATATAAATTACATTTTAATCATATAAATAATTATTAATAATTTAAAAAACACAAATATGTACTCTGAAAACCTAATTAACTATTATATATCACAGTCCCCTGTGTGGGTTCCGGGGCCCCATTGTGGGGGAAAACAAGAATAGATCCACTGCCTCCCCAAAAGCATGTCATAAGAGTCGACTAATTGGGGAGCTTCCTTTGAAGTCGGAGTGCATCTGCCGGAGAGGCAAGGAACCAACAGTCTGTATTCAAGAGAATGAGATCTGTAAAACTGATGCACACGCAACACTCAGGTTCTGGAGCAGGACTGCAGTTCAGTAGTGGACGAGCAACCAGAACTTTCCGCAAGAGTGTACAGCTGGTGAACGCGAAGAAGAAGAAGATATATCCCATTTATAATCCTGACATTGCTGTATTATTACTACTAAATTACTACTACTACTGAAATATTTTACGTGTCTATTACTGTCATCAGTAGTATGTTGAATGCTGTGATCCTGGGGACCCATAAAATGGAGGTGTAGATGAGGCAGTTGTGGGTTGAGACAAAAACTAATGGAACATGTCAACCACTCAAATACCCTACCAGAATATTTAAAAATTCATCTAAAGAATGTGAAAAAGTAGAAAATATGCATGTGTGTTTTAGGAGGAAAATATGTGTTTCTTTTAAAAACATGGCTGTTCATTTCTGCAGATTCTATGATTTTATTGTTGCATATTTAGAAAGGTATAAGTATAGATGTACTTGCCAGTTTGTACAAATAAATTAAAATATTATCATCTGACAATCTTATAATGTTTAGCTGATTAAACCAACCTAATACTGGTCACAAGGAGAGTAGTGAACCTTTAGATTTTACTCAACAGAGGCTGTGTAACAGCAGCCACAATGGGGAAGTGGCAGGAACAATTACTTGGTGGCCCAGTGGTTGGTGATATAATCTTTGAAGTCGGGATTCTAAAAAAAAAAAAAAAAACAGTTGATCTAGCTTCCCAGCCTACTTGTCCAACATGAATATATTTAATTAAATGCTCTTTAAAATGTTTTAAAATGTCCTCCTAGCACCGTATACTTCATTACATGAAAAATGATTTCTGCAAGAAGAAGATCTCTGTGTAGGTTTGACCATGGCTCTTTTATTCTTGTTTATTGTTTTTTTGCAGTTACTATGAAACATACATATCATATTTTGTTGCTTTACTTCAGAGACTATACATTTACCGTTCTCATTTTAAAACACAAATTTAATTTCCAAAAAACAGCTTGGAAAACAGTTGCTGTACAACTATGAGCAACTGATGCATGAGATTTCCATGTGGGACTTGAGACAGCCAGAATCTGGAGCAGTCTCAGCAGATGAAGCAATGCTCCAGATGTTAAATCATGCAGACTTGTCTGACAGTCGAATGTCAGTTCCCGATGAGGGCATTCATCACTCCGTCATCCAGGTCCTCACTCCATCTGTGGGCCACAGTTTAATAACAGGCGACTCCTCCAGAGACGTCATAAGTATTGAGGTACTGGCTATTCCTCCATGCAAGACCTCTGACTATGGAGGGGGATCAGATGGAAGGTGAGTTACTCCAGAATTTCATTTTTTCCTCCCAATACTATTTCAAATTGTTTTTGTTTTGTTTATTTAAAAAAAACCTGCCAATAATGTTTGTGTTTACTATTGTAAAGGTCCTTTGTGAGAGGGTAAACAGTGCAGAGGCAGAAATAGATCATTATGGTCTGAAGAGAAGGAAGATGCAAGGAGTTGTCAGGGGATCTGCCCTACACTTAATACTCAAGAAAAAGGCAAGATGGATATACAATCAGACAGTTACTGGTGCCTTCGTAATGGAACTCTTCACTTGCTGCTGAAGATGGGGACAGAATGCTTATGGAAGTGTCCAGAGTGCTGTGATATTGATTCCTAAATTCAATATTTACTACTTTTGTGATGTAGATGGAGGGGGGGGGGGGGGGGGGGGGGTGGTGGGGGGGGGGGGGGGGGGTTAACACTGACAATTTAGGGCCTAAGGCTTGTTCAGTATATATGACAATTTGCAAATTAGGATATTAATTTTGCCTATACAGAGAAAAACCCATAAATTTATCAAGGATTTGAACCCAGAACTCCCACATGAGAGCCAGGCCATTCTTAATTTGTTTATTCAAGACCTTTCTCTGATTATCTTGTGGATACTGGAATTTCTCTCTGGTCCTATGCTGGACAGAAGCAGGGTCATCAATGCTATCTGTGGCACTTGTCAAGAAGATGAATATGGCAAAAGGCATGACTTCACATCTCTTTGTCCATGCTGGTGGGCGTACCGGTGTGACCCACAGTTGTCAGGCATTTTAACTAAATGCACAAGGCATTTAAATAGAATGTGACGTTGAACCCCACTAGGACTGTACACTGAGTGACTAACATCCGGTGATGGTGCAGAGTGCAAAGTGTCCCTACTGGCATGTGAAACCCCCAGACACAAATCCCAGGAACCCTGTTTAGCTGTAAGGTTATAGTGGGGCCCCTACAGTTACAAAGTAACATAAGTCCAGGCAGGGTGGTGTAGAAATAGGTGACATTTAATTATTCAACACATAATAGATGTTATTAGTGATTTTATGCTGGTAGGGCTAATGAGGAGGAGACAGGAGCACCTTTGGATCTGTCAAGAGTGCTGTAATTATAGTCTTAGCTAATTTGTAATAATTTTGTTTTCGGCAAAACTTAAATGAAATATAAACATAGCCTCCTGTGTTCACATTAGAATAAGAAGTTTATTTATACTCTTTCACTTTGATTATTATCATTTTTTGAACTGATAATTTTCCATTGTGAGGCAGTTCAGTATCCCTTTTCCGGTGTCTTTTCCTCGAGTTCTACGATTTTAAATGGTGTATTCCAGGTATTAATTTGTTATGATGTACCCGAAGAATCTTCTGCAAGAAGCGCATGGGCATTTACAGCACGCTCAGCGGGCAGAACAGTCAAAGAAGCCAAGGCGCCTTCTCCATGACAACCAGCAGCATGACGATGGAGGTGATGGCAGTGACACAAGCGCTTGCCTGGCTTGAAACACAAAAATACACCCGCGTGTGTATACTCAGTGATTCAATGAGTATGATCCGGAGGGTTCAGACAATGGCTTGAATCATTACAGAAGTCCACTGTTCATGGAGTCACCTTTATTTTTGTTCCGGGACACGCAGGCGTCAATGGAAATGAAAGAGCTGACAGGTTGGCTGGATCCGCTATCACTACCGACGGTCAGCCTATGGATCATGCTGATATTATCAATGCCCTCAGAGAAATGGGAAGAATAGAGGACTTTGGTGGCAGTGAATCCACATCACTCGCCAGAATGGCAGACTTGGGAATTAAGATCGGCACAGCAAAAAACGAGACGCACACCAGCTACGCCAGAAGACTTGTTAATCAACATAGAACTGGTACTATTAGCCATCGGACGTTGGGGTTTATACTGAGGGGAGGATCTGAGCACCTATGGACATGTCCGGAGTGCAATGAGGATAACCCAACTAACTAACTAACTAACTAACTAACTAACTAACTAACTAACTAACTAACTTCTGCAAGGGTCTGGTAAGTTAGCTGCAGAATCTGTTACAGTACCTTCTAGAACTTGACTCAGCATTGTTGGGCTGTTATGGTTTTTCTAGGTAGTAGTTTGCTGTTGCTTTCTGAATAGTCAACTCTCAATACCACTGTCAAAATCAACACAAGAAAGCCTGCTGCCAAATCTCCTGCAGCTGTAATTGAGCCCAGCACCCCAGCATTATGAAGCATGTTTGCACCATCTAACCCACACATGCTGACACAAGGATCTGGTCTAGTATAAATTCTAATAACCATGACCGGCCCCTAGTCATCTCTGACACTTGATACTGCGATAAAACTAGTATTGCTTATACTATTATCTATGTAAAGACCCTTTTCCGTGCCTTCAGGCATATTGGGCATATAGTGCTAGACCTATATTTCATGCACCAGTCGGCACTCGGTGGTAATGTCAGATGCTTTTATGTCCCAGGACTTGACCTGGAAGCCAAGGTTATTTAAAAAAAGAAAAAGAAGTTCAGCTCCATTTGGATTTGAATCCATGAACTTTGGATCTGCAAGCGAGCATCTAGTCGCTGCTTTTTGGCATGAATAATATTCTCCATTTACGTTTTAATGATGTAGGCCGCGACTAATTATGATAACTGATTTTATATTTTATCAGCTTTCGTAAATTGTAATTTCACATATCAGCTCTTGTTTTAAGAAACTAACATTATCATCTTACTTTCCACTCCAACTTCAGGTCTTTGTGTGGATCAATTGGAAGCTCCTCAATTGGTTCAGGAATGTCTGAATCAGGACACAAAACCCCAGTGAAACGTGTCTCCTTCAGTGCCACTCACAGTATAATCAATGGTGACCAAGCTGAGCATGCAGTGAAGCACCGAGACTCCATTATAAGTGCATCAACTGATTCCAGTGAGGACTCAAACTCAAGTGGAGAAATAAGGGTTGGGACAAGCTTCAGAGGCAAAATGCGACCTAAACTGCCAGTCACTACAGAAACTACAAGACAACTGGCAGATATGTGTAATGTGACAATGGATGAGACAGCTGAAGGAATATATGCTGAAACACACCACCGTGCTTCATCGGCTGGTCTGTCACGTTCTGATAGACGAAGGTCATCTATTAACGAGCGCAGAGGTTCATGTGGATCTACAGGTTCTGACACAGGCCAGCGTTCATGTCAGGTGAAAAATTCTCCACTCTCACCCAGCCTGAAACAGCATTCATTTGATAATGCAGCAGAAGCCGCTGTTGCTCGTGGGAAGCATGGAAGTGCCAGTCCTGAAAGTCATTATCAGCATGTTAGAAGAAAAAGTGAGCCTGTTGTTGTATCACATCATGCCAAGGGAAAAGAAGAATCAACCAGCTTGACATACTCCTCTATGTATTCACCTCTGAGAGAAGAACAAGGAGTTCCTGAAGAATTAGACTCTAAATATTCTTGCACAAATGACCAACAGCAATCAGAACCATTGTACAATCAAATCAGAGGTCCAGAACCCTCATGGCCACACCAGGTTCCCAGTGACATCATTTGTCCTGCAGCCATTCCTCCACCACCTGAATTTAGAGAAGCAGAAAGTGGCAATAATCATATACCCTCCTCATCAAATACTCTCCATGAACAGACGCCACCTGGTCTTGTTGCACCCATTCACTTACAGTCTATGCAAGTTCCTCCTCCAGCACCTCCAGTGTCATCATCTGTTCTAGGACATTTGATTGATGGAGTGAGCAGCCAGCATAAGTTGCATCAACTCAAAGAATCTCATTACAACACTGCTGCTTCTGTCCAATCAAAATCCTCCCCGCCACCTACATTTCCCAAACCACACAGCAGCCCAGCAAACAGTGCCAACAGTACTTCTCCAACACCAACAGCAGTTCAAAAGCAGCCACCTCCTCCACCTCCACTGCGGATGTGCAGTAGTGAGTCTAATTACTCTTCAAGGTCAGGGGTAGACTCAGCCTCTGGGTCTCCACTGCATGTCCCAATACCCCCAACAACGCCCACTATCACACCCAAACTTCCACCTCCAACCCTTCCTAAAACTTCACATGCAACAACAGCAGCTTTTACTAGTCATATAGAGAACAGCATCAAATCGTCACTATCTTCAAAGCCACCTCAGTGTGATGGACAAATTAAGAAAGAAAACGTTCAATATGATCACCCACAAACCAAGCATGAAGGACAGCAGAAAGTTGTGGTGAGTGAGTCACTAAGTTGCCCACCTCAGTCTCCATCATTACCATTTTTATCGGAGCTTTCCAAGAGGACACATCCAGAGTCTGGAGTTGACATGCATGGTGTTGAAATGAGAAATGGGCAGTCATCGCCAGTTTCACAACAACACCGCAGATCTGCATCTGCAGGAGGTATGGTCAGTAAGACAGACAAGAAGATCCTGCCTCCGCCTCCACCAAGACGTAGTGAAAATACAAGATTGTCAGGAGACCTCACAAAACAACAGCAGCATTCAGAGACGGTGCCCAATGGAGCCTCTTTGCCAATACCTGATCCCATCTATGAAAACTTTGATGGCATCATGGACATTGATGAGTTGCCACCACCACCACCTGAACTGCTTATGGATCTGCCTCTGTCAGAATGTGAAGATCAAAATTTAGGATCAGCTAAAAAGTTAAAACCACCCCCACCACCTCCCAAGCGTTCCAAAGAGACTCAGCTGTCAACCCATTAACTTTGCTGTACTTAGAGTTTGTGTCAGTTTAGAGAGTAGAATGTAGATTAATTCAGGCATGTTTCCTTGTGTCTGGATTATATAACACACACACAAAAACTGCTGCCAAAAGATTGTTTTTAGGACTGAAGTAATAAACATGTTTGCATTTTCATTCAACAAATTTTTGTGCATGTAAAGAGGGTCTTCATCTGCTATCAGTGAAATTGGGAAAAATGTAAGTTTTCATAGAATAAGAAAATTCGTTGTGAGGAAATTAAGTGTTTCGGAAGGATTTACTTT